TTTTTTTTTTTTACACTCGTTCTCTCTTATCGTTTAGCAATGCAAGATAATGAAACATTGCTTTGGATATTATCCCAGCTGTCGAAAAAACATTTTATTCTATTATTGATAAGGAAGATCTATAACATCTTCCTGTAATAATTTTTTTTAATATTTGTGAATTTATTAATTAGAATTAATCAGAATTAATAATAAAATTATATTATTAAGATAAGGAATGAAAAAAAAAAAAATTAAGATATCTAATATTTATGAATAGTATGAGAATAGTTTAATTATATATATGCAAGAGATTGAGTCTATTTGGAAGAAAAAATAATGATAAATTAGAAATTAATTCAAATTAATTTTCAAATAAAAAAAATTAGATAAGAATAGAATTAAAAAATAAATTATCTATAGTTTTATGGGATAGGTATTATTCATCGAGATATAAATTATTACAATAATATTAAGACTATCACAAAGGTAAAATCGCAATAAATACTTATAAAATGATAATAAAAATAAATATTTATTTAATATAATCATAAATTTCGCAAAATTTTTATTATTATTTATTAAAAATGTATATATATAAAAATTAATATTTTTAAAAATTAAAACATTGAATTTCTAGAAAATACGTAGATAACTAATTTTTCTACATTACATTTTATTACTTTTTTCCGATTTTTAATTTTTAGAAAAACCGTTATCTAGCACAGTATCAATTTGAAGAAAATTTATAAAATTTATACATAATGGAATGTTATCATTATTAAAAAAAAATTTATTTGGAAAAAATATCTGATCTAAAAAATTATATAAATTATTCTTCAATTTTTTTTAATCACTTTAACTCAATTATGCGATATAAGTAAATATAATACTTGTTAAAATATTGATAGTACGAAACCATGATAATGTTTGGCATTCTTGATTCGAATATATAAAACGTTACAATTTCATAATCATTAGAGGAAATCCACCAAATATCATGTATTAAAATTAATAACGTGACAATTTTTCAAAATCTCATCTGCATAAAGAAATATATACGTATCGCCGGAAGCGTATATCTTATCGTTTCCGTCTTATAAAAGCTTTAATGCACGAGGATGTTATATTTCCTAATTTTACTCTCATTCGTTTGCGAAGTGAGCAATTTTTGAAAGAAAGAAGAAAGGGAGAATAGTTTCGATGATTTTCATTATTTATCTAAACATATACCTATATATATATGTATATATATACATATATCGCTTGAAATAATTTCAAAATTATTAACTTGTAACTCAGTTTAGAGGTAAATATCATGGCGATAATATTCCTTTTTTTTTTTTTTCTTTTTCTATGTAACTCTCTAATCCAACATAAGATTTTCAGAAATATGTGTTAAATCTATCTCTTATGTTTATTAATTATTAATTTTATCTTCTTACTTTTCAGGTTCAAGTATAATGAAGTCATCTATGAAAATGGGAGTAATAGCCTTAATAGGTCTCTTCGTGGTGTTTTACCAATACCATTTATCAACCAGCGTACGATTCGATCAAATCGCCGATTTCAACACGGGTGGTTCCGTGGAAGACAGCCCTGTTCTATCCCAGGAAGACGTAGAGCGCTACGTAAAGACGTCTAAATTCAAGGAAGAAATGGTAAATCTTCAAAAGCATCAAACGTACCTCACAACTGCCTTTTTCTAAAACACTTGTTGTCTCTATTTGTAGATCAAAAGCGCTGTGTATAAAGTTCAAGAGATGAACGGGCTGAGCCCAGACATAACCTCGATGTTGGTGCAGCAGTTAACGAATTATTTGCACAAGGATATTCTCGAATTATCCGAGAATAATTCGAAGAATGATCGAAACGTATCGTTGAACGAAGAGAGACAAGAATCGTCGATGAATTCGGATAAAATGCCGGAACCGTTGTATATAATCACGCCGACGTATCGTCGGCCAGAACAAATACCGGAACTCACCAGGATGTCGCATACTTTGATGTTGGTAAAGAATGTTCATTGGCTCGTTATCGAGGACGCGACCGTTGCCACTAAACAAGTCACGAGGCTGTTGGAACGAACAGGATTGAAGTTCGAGCATCTGACTGGTAAATTCAATAGATTAGAAATTAGAACGGAATTTTGCAAATTAAATTGGCATTAATTAAATCTAATCGTGAATAAAATCAATTGGGAACAATCTATTTAAGAAGAATTATTTATTTTAATAATTTTTATTATTTTATACGCGATATTATTATGTGTATATTTTTTGAAAATAATTTCGAAATCTTAAACACGTTACTACTGCTGAGTCGATATGTATAAATAGTTTCGATGAAAATTAATTTCGTTGACCAATAACCATATTACCAGAAAATTAATTGAAACAACCGCAAAGATCTTGATGAAAAAGCTTCATATTGATTTTGTTAGTCAGTTCATGTTTAATATTGTGATACTCAGCATGTTCACCGTGCTTTTACAAACGTGATCATATTGACATTTATGCAAATTGATGTATATCGTTAATGTATATTTATGTATATTGAATTGTATTGTAATGTTCGACTTTAAATACTTTTGTGTTTTTTCTTTCCAGCTCCAATGCCTGAAAAGTACAAGCAGAAAAAGGGTGCCAAACCACGAGGCGTGTCTAATCGGAATCGTGGCTTACAATGGATCAGGGCAAATGCAACTAATGGCGTCTTCTATTTCGCCGATGATGACAATACCTATGATATAGCACTCTTCGACGAAGTATTATTTTTGCAAATATATTCTTATTACACAATAATATGGATAAAGTTCTTTAAATTATAAAGGCTATGAGAAATATATAATTTTGATATAATTTTATGTATAGTAATATATAATTTTGATATAATTTTATGTATAGTAAAAAAAAAAAAAAAAGCGAAACATATTTAAACTATCTGAGATTTTTTTGCTTTTATCTAAAAATTTAGCATAAAATTATATCATTTACTTTAGATAACTTAGATTATTTAATCGTGATTATACTTAAATAGTTAAACAGTAAAATTATATATTTTAGATACGTAAAACAAAACGAGTCTCCATGTTTCCTGTTGGTTTATGCACCAAATTTGGTTTAAGCTCGCCCATTATTAAGAACGAAAAATTCGTCGGATTTTACGATGGATGGATCGCCGGTCGGAAATTCCCAGTCGATATGGCAGGCTTCGCTGTAAACGTGAAGTTTCTGCTTCAAAGGCCAAATGCCTCGATGCCATTCAAAGCTGGATACGAGGAAGATGGATTTTTGAAAAGTTTGGCACCGTTTGAACCGAAAGAAATTGAATTCTTGGCCGATAATTGCACCAAGGTACTCGCTTGGCATACGCAGACAAAAAAGAATGAACCAAGTGCGCCTCTTGATATGAAACTGTACGGTGAAACGAACCTAGTTAAATTAAAACAACAGATAGTATGATGTTAAATCGATAGCGACTGCATTTTCGAGTTCGATCTAATTTTAACGATTAATAAGTACGAAACAAAGTGATTCAGTGCCTGAAGTATTGTGAAGTACGATTGGCGTAGTAATGATCTTCTTTTTTTTCTAATTTTTTTATTGTTAATCTTAGAAAAAATTTAAGAGAAGCTATAATTTGTTTAAGATCTCCATAGGAAATGTTGTAGATAAATGATCTTTATAATGTTGTTTTTGTTTTTTTATTAAGCTTGTTATTAATCTTGAGCAATTGAATTTGGAAAAAAAAATATGAATTTCTTTTATAGTTTAAATTTTTTTAAAAAAATTAACGTGCAAAAAGAATTGAAATTGATCTAATCTTGTTATGGAAATATGTTTCTGTATAATATAGTGATATTTTACATATAATATATTTAATTAATATTAAAATTTTAGTTGTTACAATAATTACTTAATAAAATGAAGACCAATTAGCGCGAGAAAAGTGATTCAATTGAAAGTTATTCGATGCGATAATATTATAAGAAAAAAAAATTTATATTAGAGAAAAAATTTTATTGCTCAGTATAACTTCTTGCATTATTCTTGCAACTTCTTCCGTTTTATTTTATAAGTTAGTTGTTTTCCATTTGTTCTAGCTTCGCAACTACGTATTTATTTTGTATCTGATTAATGAATCAACTGCTTCTTTAAAATCATACATCGAATATTCATTAAGTTTTTAATGTAACAAAGTGAATACAAATTATCTTTTGTACTTATTCTTATATAAGTATCGTTTTAAATTATATTTCTGTCAAACAACAACATGTATGAATTTATCATGCGAAATAGCGAGTAGGAAATTATTTTATTATTTTGTTTTTATAATTTGATCTATTTTTAATTAGATCCATTGTTTCTTTAATATTATTAAAGAAGTAATATTTCATATTACTTCCTGTTATTTTTAAGAAAATTGGTTATATGTGCATAATATATAATATTAAGTGAACAAAAAAAAAAGAAAAAAGGCGATGACAAAATATTATATGCACTGGTTTTTAATAGATCATAAATAAAATATCATAAAATTAAGATTATCGCAATTTGCAATAAAAAAGATTTCAATCATCAAATTTGATATCATATCGAATGCATGCGTAGATAGGAAAAAAATGAAATACAACAAAGCGTTTCAAAAGATCTATAACAAAATCTTATGAATAAATATTTATTTTTAATTTTCTTAAAAATAAATTTTAAGAAAAACAGATCTTTTGAAGTTGCATCTCAATATGCAATATTAATTCATCAAAATAATACAAATGAATATAGAAAAGAATATCTGAAACAAATTCTTTAATTATCAAATAATCTTTTTCAAATTTCTTTGCTTTTATTGTTCAAGAAAAATTTAAAATTTAAATATAAATTTTAAATTTTGCACGCATCCAGAATATTATTATTTAGTCCATCAATATCAAAATAAAGATTAATATTATAAATAATGGTATGTTGAATGAATATAATTATTTTTTTTTTAAATTTATAAAATTAACAAATTTATTTTCTAATTTGTTTAAATATATCGATATGGATGATTCTTACAAAATTAATTACAAATACTTTTATATTAGTATAAGAATTATGATGTGTATACATAATTTTGTAAAAGTGTTGATGGGCACAACGTGTATAAATTAAGTTTGCAGTTTTCTGCAATTTGCCCGTATTCTAATTAAGCTGAAATATCGTGAAAGCAATAAACTTGTTGTTAGAAAATGTTGGCTTCGTACCAATTATGTCTTTGCGTCAGTATTAATAACTTTAACAATCATAAAAAATAAATGAAACATTTAATCATAGTAAAATAAAAAAAATAAAAACAGCTTTAAATTAGAGATCATGATTTTGAATATATATAAAAATGCACGGAAAACAATTTAATTAAAAATCCGTGTTCTTAATACATGTGTAGACTGATTATAAATATGCTCCTAAAAAATTTTTATTCTTGAAAATAAAAAAATTTTGAGTCTCTATTACTTCTTGAGTTATATTTTCTTAATATAAAATCGAAATTTCTGACAATAAAAATTTTTGTCTGAATTTACAATTTTGTATCGTGAAAATATAATTGAAAAAAAAAATGAAACGTGAGATTTTTATCAAATTCACAAGATAACGTAATATAGGCAAGAATTTTTTATCAAATTTTGTAGATTTATACAAGAAAATTATTTGAAATTCTAGTTTTGAGTTGCGAGTTTAAAAATGCAGAAATTTTAAAGCTTAATTGATTAATATTGCATTTTCAATATAATGGCAAGTATTCTCGCACAATGCTGCTTTTTATGTCATTATGAATACCTCATACATTCTATATATTATATATCTATTATTAAGTCGGAACTCTAGCATCCATCTGCAAAATGTTGCCAATAATATTAAACTTTTCTATTTATTTTCTCGTTTAACTTATGAGCAAAATGTATTATCATAATTATAAATAGAGAAAGAATAAATTCGATAAGAAATCTTCTATAACATCGTTTTTCGGTAAAATGCTTAAAAATTTTTTTATATTTCACGACATTATATCAGAATATATGTTTTGCAATATTTGACAAGAAATACATTGTAAAGCCGAGAATGTAATATCTATATTTTTTACATTAAAGATTAAGATGCATTGCAATTTTGAAAGAGAAATAATGAAAGTGTTTTCCATTGATATCCTATTCATTTGTGATCATGCGCCAAAACATAGAGAAGGAAAGCAAATAGTGAACGAAGTAAAAATTAGAGAATCAACGCTATCTTTAAAATAAATAAAATTAATATAGATAAAGAGAGCAATATTATACAAAAAGAATAAAGATAGCGTAAAAAACGTTGAAATCAGTACTATCTTCAGAATGTCACAAATGAAAAACATAAAAAAAAGACAGAAAATAATATAAAGAAGACAAAGATAGAAATAGAATAAGAATTGACAAATAACGCTATCTTTTAACTATTAAAGATATCTTTTTAAAGACAGGATAAAGTAAGATAAGATTTAAGAATCAGCATCATCTTTTGAGTATTTTTGAGAAAAACTATTTAAAAAACTTTTGAAAAAAAAAATTTTTAATATTCAAGAGATAGTACTCAATCAATTTTCTATTCTTTTTCTATAATGTTATTCTTTTTATCTATGACATCACGAATATATAATATTCGTATATTCTGTGTTCCTATTAAATTGTAGCTTCTAGTCTGTCCGTGAGATAGCGCCATTAATACTAAATTCATTATTTAGTTTCTTGTTTAATTTCTTTTGTTTAACTTGTTTAACTAACTGGATATAAAATATCCATCAACAATTTAAAAAAAAAAAAGAAATAAAGCGACAATTTATTACTTAAAAATACTAATTTGAGAAATATCATAAATAAAATTGTATATGAATGTTTTGAAATAAAAAATTTACAAAAGTATTAAAACTAGAAAAAAAAATTTCTTAGAAGAAAGAATATATTAGAGAAAAGAATAAATATATCTATATATTAAAAAGTGATATAGAGAAGTTTAATTTCATTTATTATATATATATATATATATATAAATATTTTAAATTTTATTTTAGTATTATCGCGTTTGAATTACATGTTTCCTTTGATTCGATATTTCACTAATTCATTGTGCTTACGTCAACTTGTCAATGTGACGTCACTATATTGTAAAAAATTATTTTTCTATAACTTCCGTTAAGCAATTTCTTTTAAATTGCCATTTATAGAAAATACACTTTTAGTTCAAGTATCGTATATACCATATAAATAAAATTGTCAATATCTATAGGATACAATTCTACGAAAGTTTAGGTAAGCTTTAAAATCTTCTTGTAGCGTAAATAACTTTATATAGAGTTGCAATAGTTACATCAAAACGGTTTCTTTGCCATTGTTCGTAGCAAGTGCTTCCGTTGAACATCGTTAAGTTTGTTTTTTTTTTTTTATTAAATTCTTAGGTTTGTCAGAATGATTATGAGACATTATTTTTTTTATTTTAATTATATTTAATTAAAATTATTTTTTAATTATAGATTTTTGTATCCAGTGATTGTTTTACAGCGAACCAAAATGAGTTATGGTTATCAAGTAAGTATACTTACTTTCTCTTTTTTATCATAAATTTTTTTTTGTAATATTATACATTTTTATATTTCGTAACAAATTGAAATATTTATAAATGAGATATTTTCAATGAAAAAATATGAAAATGAGTCTCATGGGTAGATATCATTTTTCTCAATATGCAGTAATCTTATATGCAATGTAATATGCATTTTTAATGCAATTTTATTCAAAATTCTTTTTTATTTGAAATAATTAAGACCTGCATTCCTTCTATTTCCTTTTTTCCAACTGCCTTTTTTCCAGAGTATATATGAAAATCTGATTGTAACATTTTCTATTTGTACTCTGACTATCAAAGGGACCACCACCACCAGTGATTCCTGGAAATGTAAAACCACCAACATCATTTGGGGCTCCACCTGGCACACCCTCTGCCCCCGGTGCTCCGCCTTATTCTCAAAGTGACAACATAGGCTTTACAAATATTCCTCCTGTATCTTTTGGAATGCCACAGCCTTATTCTTCTCAAGTCTTAACTCCTTATCCAACACAACCTTGTCATCCTATACCTAATCAATATCCTCAATATCCTCCTCCAACTCCAGAAACTCCTCAACAAATGCCTTTACTTATGCAAAAGTCGACTTCTTCTTATCCTCAGCAAATGCAGCAATCATATTTAAATCAATTTACAGTATATCCACAACAGCAAAATTATAATTATCCAAATCTTCAGACTATATCAGACTCAAAAGAATATTTTAATACATCTTCTCCTTATACCTTTGGTCCCAATGTTTATTCAAATAATTCAAGTTCCTATCAAAGCGGAAGCTATCCTGGGGGGCAGGGTGCAGGATTCTATTCTCCACACAAGGATAGATCTTATCAAGCTCATCCAGCCCCAGCCCCCCGGAGAAATCAGTTTGCGCCTAAGGTGAGATTAAATGAAGATATATATAAAAGGCTACATTCTTTTAGATACTAAATGTATTTTACTTAATACTTCCTTATTAAAAATATTGTATATGATTTGTTTTTTGGGTTACAGTTATCTCCTACAGTCATATCATATAATGATTTTGATGCCAGAGCAGATGCAGAAATTTTAAGGAAAGCAATGAAAGGTTTTGGTACAGATGAAAAGGCTATTATTAATGTACTTGCCAATCGCAGTAATCTACAGCGCCAAGAAATTGCTGTTCAATTTAAGACTTTATATGGGAAGGTAAAAAATTAAAATTTAATATATAATATAGAAAAACAATTATTAAAAATTAATTAAAATTTTTTTAATAATAAAATAGGATCTTATAAAAGATTTAAAATCCGAATTATCGGGCAATTTCGAAAAATTAATTCTTGCTATGATGATGCCATTACCACAATTTTATGCTAAAGAATTGCATGATGCAATGGCAGGTATTGGTACCGACGAATGCGTTCTTATCGAAGTATTGTGTACTATGTCTAATCATGAGATTTGTGTAATTAAACAAGCTTATGAAGCAAGTAAGTTTTATTTGTAATAATGTTATGTAATATTACAAATTCTTTATTAAAAATTTTCAATATTTTTTTTCATTTAGTGTATGGAAAAACATTAGAGGATGATTTAAGAGATGATACTTCTGGAAATTTCAAGCGATTAATGGTATCATTATGTTGTGCTAATAGAGATGAATCATTTGATGTGAATCCTGCATCTGCTATAGAAGATGCAAAAGAACTTCTCAGAGCTGGTAATTTCTGTAATAATATAAATGTTTCATGATATATTTCATATTTTCAAAATCTTTAAAATTATTATTTTGATTTTTCATTTTAGGTGAACTTCGTTTTGGAACTGATGAATCAGTATTTAACTCAATACTTGTTCAAAGAAATGTTCCACAACTGAAACAAATATTTGAAGAATATGAAAATATTACTGGTAACAACATTGAAACTGCAATCAAAAACGAGTTTTCAGGTGATATTAAGAAAGGTCTTTTAGCAATTGGTAAATAAATATTATATTGTTTTACATATATATTTTTAAAATTATATATTAATGCAAAATTAATTTATAGTGGAATGCGTTAAAGATAGAGCAGGTTTTTTTGCTGAACAATTGTATAAAAGCATGAAAGGTCTTGGTACAGATGATGATCGTTTAATCAGATTGGTTGTTACTCGTTGTGAAATAGACATGGGAGAAATCAAAGAAATATTTAGACAGCGATATAATGAATCGCTGGAAGATTTTATTTCCGTTAGTATATTTAATAGATAATATAATAGATAAATAATATGATATAAGAAAATAAAAAATCAAATCTAATGATCATATTTTTACAGGGTGATTGTTCTGGTCATTACAAAAAATGTCTTCTAGCACTCATTTCTTAAAACTATTAACAGAAGTTATATTTGGTTCCATTTAATAACTTTTTCAAATACATTTTACAACTTATATATTTGTTTATATATTCTTCATTCTTTAATGTGTTGATGTAAATGAATGATATATTGAAATATTATAATTTACATAAAAACTTTTAATTACAATTTTAATTACATAAAAAAATTTATAAAAGTTTACATATATTACTATAAGGTATAAGGTAAAGCTTTGTACTATGAATCTCAAATCTTTATATTATTGTTAAAAATTGAAATGTTATAAAAGTATTAATTACTAATACTACAAATCTATAATAAAATATTTAAAAACGAAGTATTTACGATAAAATGATAACTAGTATTTTAATATTTATAAAATTTATTGTTATCATTTTTATTTTATATATGCATATATATATATATATATATATATATTTCTATATAATATTATATATTTTATGAATATTCTAAAATAAAAATAAATGAAAGAAAATAAAAATGCAAATTTTAAATATTTTAAAATTTTATTAAATAAATAATATATTTACAATTGAATATATTTATCATTCCTTAATTTACCAAGAAATTCTTTGAGGATAAGGCTGATCATTCCAATAAAAAACTTTATTGATAAAAATATAAAATTGCAAAAAATTTATTATTAATGTAGTTATTGATTCTGCAATAATTTGCCATGTTTTTGGTTTTTTAATAAAACAACGATAAAGTATATATGGAATGATAAAATATCTTGGTTCTATTAATAATTGTGGAATAAGTACTATAGAAACCATAAGAATATAATTAATCTGTGTTATAAATCTTAAATGTTTAAGCCCATGAAACATTGTATACAAAGTGAATGAGTATAATGGTACTAAAAAATATTTGAATTGTTTGTATTTTCCCATAAACTTATTCCAAAAGTAAAATACATAATGTCTATTATCAGCTAACATATATGGATGAACAAAAGTATTAAAATGAACAATTATAATTAAAAAAATAATAATACAACTTGCAAATATCCAATGTTTACTAATAAACTTAAAATAATTTTTCCAGGAAATAATCATGTATGGCCATAAAAAACAAAATAGAAAAATAGAAAAATATAACAATTGAGGAATATGAAAAGTAGGAATATGAGCTGTTCTATCACCAACTACAATTCCTTTGTTCCATAGAACAAAAGAAACAAATAATAAACATACTATAATGTATGGAAGCAATTGTACACACAATTGTAGGATAAATTTTGCAAGTAACTTCCATTCATGATATGTTTCTTCTATTATTCTTTTCCATAATAGCTAAAAATTACATAATAATATAAATTTTAAATATGATAAATATTCTTATTTTTTTTGTAATAATAATTTACTCACTTTTAAATAAATTATTGAATTATACTGCTCATATGAAATTAATTTATTTATTTTATGATCTAATAAATCAAATAAATATTCCACAGTAATAAATGCAACCCAAATAATATTTGTTTGTCGAATTAATATAGACAAAAATCCTGTATATTATAATTAAAATTGCTATTTTTGAAATTTAATATTCTTGTGATATTCTACAATTTCTTTTTATACATACCTATAAAAGCTGCAGTTTTAAATTGTTTATATAAATGTAACATTAACATCAATAATATTGCATTAACTGATGTAACATCTGTATAATATAAAAAATGCCAGAAAAATAAGGGTGGAAAAAACATAATATTACAAGCCACAATAAGTTTCATCCAATCATTCCATCTTTGTTTCCAATAAATTATTGAAATTTTTTTAATTATATTTTGAGCAAGATAGAGATTTAGAAATGTTCCAAACAAGTTTATGCATCTCATGTAAAAAATATTACAGAGTTTCAAAGGTGATAAAATTAGAGTTGCAATTAAATATAAACCAGGCAAAGTGGTAATTTTAGGATTCCACTGAAAATAACATTCTCTAAATATATTCAAATATAATTTTTCATTACTTTATTGTTTTTTGTGAGAATTATTAATATTTAATAAATAATTTAATGATATAAAAGAACTTCAAATGATATATATATAAATAAAAGAAAATTTATAACTTGTCTTTAAGATGTCAAGTTGTAAAATGATTTATGTATAATTAAAATAATTATATTTTTTGAATACTCATAGACAATATTTAATAACACTATATAATATATAATATTCAATAATAATATTTTATTTTACAAAAAGTAAAAAATAATCAAAACGTACCTGTGTAAAATTATTATTACAATATTGCAAAGTCTGAGATACATGAAAAACCTCATCGATAAAATAGTAAGGTTGTACATGATTTAAATAAATAAATAATATTACTATACTTGAACAAATTATTATTATTAATATTTTTTGTGAATATTGAATAAGTTTAGTCATAGATTCATTCATCATTTCTTTGATGAAATAAAAAAAAAAATAAAGATTTATAGATTTAGAAAAAATAAAAATTTATAATTATACAAAATATCGCACTCAACCAAAGATATGATAAAATATTATAACGATCATTTCAATGTCATATATATCTGTCAAAAATTTCAAGAATCATATTTTAATAATTAATTTAATTTTATAATTTAATACATTCATTTAGAATGCCTTATACTTTTTGTGATATTAGTAATTACTAAAACATTTTGAAACACTCTGAAGTTAACGCTAAATCAATATTTTAAAATCAGTCGATATATCGATTTATAAAAATTATAATTTAAAGAGGGAGCGGGAACATAAATAAAAAATCCATTAAGTAATTTTAAAAATATTAAGTTTAAAAAAATAAGTTTTATATTGTTGTTTAATAAATGAATTTCACAATAATATGAAGTAAATAAGTTTATTCGAACTTAATTTCAGATTGAATAAAATAATCTGAGCAATTTTTTTTTTCCTTTTATCTGTAGAAATATTGGTAGAATACAAATATTAATATTATACAAATAAGTGGATTGCAAATATTAGGTTGTTCTAATATGTTACGCTTCTTATTTAAATATTGTGCTTATTTCCTATTTTATTTAATTAAAATCTTTAAAAAAATGAATACATTAAACAAAAACAATAATATAATTAATATTTAATATTTTATACTTTTTTTTAAGGATATGTTGTACAGGAATTAGGAAATAATTTATCAATATACCAATTCTTATAAATATTTGAAATTTAAAATTAAAAATTAAAAATTTTGTATATATATATTATATATATATAAATTCACAACAAAATTTTTATTAATTTTTGTTAATTTTACGAAATTCAAAACTATTATTAAATTTTCAAATTAAAATAGAAGCAAATATAATTCATTCTAATAATTTGTTATTAAACATATTAGTATAAATAGATTAAATTGAATTTTGTTCATTCCTTTCTTTAATATGAATCCTTTAATTCTTGAATGACCGTGTACAATTCCTCCTCGATGTATTATTAAATGGAGCTTATAAAGACTATAATATATTAGTATAACACATTAATGTTCAATTTGATTCTATTCCATTTAATGGTTTCCTGATCATCCAAATGTAAATCGTTTCACACTGTAAGTATCGAACTTTATGACATTTTTTACCTGAGAATAATTACAGGATAAATTTTTAATATACTGAATGTAAAATAATCGAAATTTGTTGAAGTACAATACACAATTATGTGTAAGATAGATATTTTGTAACTATCATACTGTAAAACATGATTCTTTTATACATATAGATATATTATACATAAAAAAGACATAGGCAAACTGTATATATCACGAATGTTAATGCATATACAAATTTATAAGTTTTGTATGTATGCACTATACAAAGCTGAGCATTTTCTTTATTTAAATTCTAGTATCTAATTTTTTTAAGTGAAGAGTATACTTATTAATCACTTTTTACTTCTATTTTCATTTTCTTAATCAGTCTAAAACAAATAAAGCATGATACAAATTATACATAATATATAAGTGACACAATTGCTTGAGAAACAAAATTATAACATTTTTGAGCTTATTACAAGTATATTACAAATATTTATTTTTATCAAATTACAGTAAATTCTAAACAGACCTATAAAATTGTTATATATAATTAAATATTTTTTTTATAAATTTAAAAGTTCCATAAAATCCAAATAAAAATAGAAGAAAGATATTAATTTATATTTTTAAATTAAAAATATAACTAATGAAAAAATATTTTGCATCCAAATAAAAATTTTGATATTTTTTAAATGATGTGTAGAATCATAGTTGTTAATAAATAATTTTAAACACAAAAATTTATATATTTGTAATGGATAAAAAATTCAATTAATGATAAATAAATACTTCATAACAATATTGAAATAAGATTGTTTCAATTATTTTAGAAAATTTTAATGTATAAAAAAGAATTGAAATCATGTTACAAAATATTCATAATTAAAAAAAATCACTCATGTTTGACTATTCAAAAGAAAGTGGAAAATTGTTTAATTCATTAACAACAGGAAGAATTTAATAAATATAATTTTATAATGTTACCAAGAGTTATATACTATAGAATTTAATACTTTATAAATTAATTAGTTTAAAATTATTTAATTAAGATATATAAAGTTTAAATTATATCCTGTTGCAAATGAATTAATACTTAATACTTTCTACATCTCCTAATAACTTTTCTTGTATCACACAGATTATAAGAAAACTATAAATTGTAGAATATCAGAAATGACATTATTGAATAATAATAAATCTTTTTAGCACGCAAACTTTTTCACTGCTAACAAACTAATATATATTACTTGCAAATATATCTTATCTCAATGAAAGCATTTTACTAAGCTTAATTTGAAGAGTATGCATTTTAACAAGGAAGAACTTATTCCTTCTGTTTCACATAGTAATCATTAGTTTTCGAAATTCGAGCGCACAATTGAAAAATGGCAGAAAATATATAAAACAGTATTCTTCAAACTCACTTGGCTACCTGAGATATTTTGTATCTTTCAGTCATTTAAAAATTTTCTAAAACGGAATAAAAAGAGGGGGAAAGGGGGGGGGAGAGAAAGAAAAAGAGAGAAAGAGAGAAAGAGAGAGAAAATAGGGCATGTACTAAAAAGTACACATGCTAACACTGAAAGCAATATCTAGAAAAATATCAAAAAAGTATATGCTTATTTTTATTCAATCTTTTGTCTCTCCTATTGAAACTTAAAACACACGGTAACTTATACTTTTGTACGCGTTCGATTCTAAATATTGCTTTTAATGTTTTTCAATTTCTTAAAAGAAAAAATGAAAAAGAGATGAGTGAAATTACGAGATTGGAAGAGACATGTTTTTGTTTTATATAGAATAACGAATTGTTATAATGTTATCAGCACTTGTGGAATGCCTGCAGTCAATGTTATCTCAAATACTAAATACATACACTAAAAAATTATATGTTTCATATAACTATAACCACTCCTTAAAAAAACATCAAAGAATACTAGCAAGTTATTTATACATTTAGCATCACTCCCATGGATAAAGGAAATCCTTTATAATAATGATAATAAAAAATAAAAAAATAAATTCGTTTATATATTATATATTGAGACTTTAAAATTTTAATTGTAATGTTACAATCTTAAACTAAGTGATTTCCTTTTCTGTGAGAGCAATGTGTAACTAATACCGGTTCATTAAGCTTGAAAGTACTTTTTAAAGTACAAAAGATAAAAAGATAGCTATCTTAAAATAAAAAGCAACTTTTTGTGCAGATAACAAATAAAGAGCACTCCTTAGGAACTAATAAGACTTAAACATTATTACCGAGATCTGAATAAAATCAACTTATAAAAATTAAAAATATCATATATACAATTATATTAAAAACAAAAATAACCTTCTAATAATAGGAAAATTTAAAATGATCAAAGTATTTTGTAGAAAGAAGTAGAGTCAAACTTAATGGAAAATATAAAAATAAAAAATAATACAAAAGAGATTTAATAGTTTTTACGTTTTTGTTATGTTTTTATAAAAAAGAAAAAAAAAGAAAAAATTATATTTTATTAAATTTTAACAAAAAAAAAAAGCAAAACATTTTAGATTATTGTAAAAAAAAAATATAAAAAATAGTATTGACATATTTACTTCATTTCTACAAATTTCTACCTATTATTAGAAGATTACCTGTATTTCTAATTTGTCATAGAATTAAATAAGTCATTTATTACTTAGAGATTGTAAAAAATTTTTTCTTATTTTTATTTCATCGTGTAACAAAATTGTTATAGTTGAAATATGAAACAAATGGATTTTATCCAATTTATATTATTTATCAAAATAAAAAAAATATGAATTTGAAAAATCTTTTAAAATAAAAAAAAATAAAAAAGAATACATAATAATAAATTATATTTTACATATTCTTTAATTCATTTCATTTTTTTGTAATTTAGAAATTATGAATATTAAAATATTATAGTCATTTAATTAAAATGACAAAATCCATTTTTTTTCATTTTCAATAAAAAAAAAGGAATTTAGTTACTCAATGAAATTATTAATTGCTATAAGACATATGTAGGCTGTAGAATTCTACTATAATAAAAGTACACTAAAAATATAGAATTAATCCTATTGACCGAAGGCCGATATGTAATATAAATGTCACAAATTTGAAATTGTGCCTGTACAAGCTATTCTAATATCTGTACATTGCAATAATACAATACAGTAAGTCAGCTAGATATGAATCACAACATAATTTATCATCATTTTATTGGAATATATTCTTCTTTCGCTTATTTTTAATGTAAATTATATTATCGGTCGATCGTAGTTAATTATATACAATTTTTTTTCTAAGTTATAAATAATTAACAGAATATTATTTGTTAAAAAATAAAAAATAATAGTACAGAAATTGAATGAAATTAATTAACTATATGGAATTTTCACAAAATTTATTTTTTTTTTTTTTATGCTTTAAATAGATGAAAATTATAAGGACGTAGTTTTTATATGTAATTATTTTAAAAAAACTAATATATCAGTAACAGGCAATGCCACAGAGTGCTCCATATCGTATCTCTAACGAATTATTGCTTTTTGCACTTTTCGAAATATTCGGAACGTCATTACGCTATGTATACCTACATATTGTGTAAAAATTACTTATGATCAAAGTTCAATCAAGCCTATGCATTGTAGCTTTGAAACTTTTCAAAAGATATACATTGAACCAAAAAGAAGAAAATATTGCAACTGCAGTTACTTCCGGTTGCTTTCGTTAATCTGATTTTGATATACAAACGATATTGTATCAGGACTCCGTAAAATAGTTGTTGCGTATATTACGCATTAGTAAACTGTATTGTCATTAAAAAATATTATTTTCTCGGGTACATTTGGCAAGCATGCACTTCTCAATTTGGAAGATCAAATCTTCAAGGGACTTCAATTGAATAAAGACTAATCGAAAATCAATGAAAACTACGAGAGGACGGTTCGCACTCTCCTCCAACGTGCTTCCCATTGTGATTTATTTCTTCTAGCGCTCCATCCAAATCCAAACCCAGAACCAATAATAACTTTATTAAAGTAAGCGAAGTTGTTATTGCTATTGCCATTAACGTGACCAATATTCGTGTTAAGATTGGCCAAATTAACTGCATTTAAGATACGAACAGCAGATGAGAGTCGTAATTTACTTGCTGGAGAACTAAACACCAACTTGCGGCTCTGTTTATTATTGTTGCTGATATCCTCGCTACTGCTCGTACTATGGCGGTCACTTAATTGTTTTGCCGTATGGGAATATTCAGTACAAAATGATTTCACCATTGATCATTGTCGATACGTTTGAGATGATATTCCATTACCAGGTGTCACGTAATCTCCAATCATCAAGCTGGGATTCACTGGATAATGTGAAGTATTGCCAAGGACCAGCGATTGCTGGAAAGTAACACCAAGCTGTAGCGCGAAAGACACGCAGGCAGGCGTACACTTTAGTATCCTTTTGCTTTAATTTTATTAATTATTTAGCGAGCTAAATTTGGTGCAAACATTTATACATATTGTATATGAATATGGTGCATATATGTTAGTACACTTTGGTACCATAAAGATTAGCTCGCTCATAATCTAATTAAAACATTTTTACACTTACCGTAGCGGGAGATGTAAACATATTTGGTGTAATTCCACCACCTATTAATTGTGCTGCTTGTGTACTTGTTGCTGTACCTCCTACTCGACCCCTACCTGTACTTGAAATCGAACCTGGATGAATATTTGGCTGGCCTCCTAAATTAAACCCACACAAAAAATAATTATTTTATATTCTTAAAATAAAAAGTTATTTTTTTAACTATATTTTACCTATTGCAAGTAAATTACTGGGATTCACTGCCGCGGTAGCGTCCATAGAAACTTCTCCTAAACCATTCACAGACATTCCATTCACCATATTTACTGCTTGTCTGGCACCTTGTGCATCTAAGGTTGTCCAATAAGACTCGCTAGGTGAAGTATTATTTAAACCAGGTGGAGGTTGCGCTGCTGCACCTGTGTATCTAAAGTATGGATTTTTCAAATCCAAAGTATTACTACTGCTTTCCATATTCGTTCCTTCCAGTTTTAATTCTATTGTTACATCGTATGATTGTCTAAAACATTGTTTTATATGAAATTACATATATATTTTATATTAATAAAATTTTGAAATTTTATAAATTAAATTATTATTACTTATAGAATTTACTTCACCTCTTATTCGCAATAAGAATAACTTTTCCAGATAATAGCTGACCACTTTTACAAAACAAAGGATTTTCCAAAAGACAACGAACTTGATACCAATGGGTAAGAGGTTCTGTTGGAGCTGTACTTAACCAAACCTGTTGTGTTGATCCAATAAATGCAACATCAAACCAAAATGCAAGGCCATGACAAGTACCACTTTCCAATATATGAAAATCAACATCGATTTCTAAATAGATAAAATGAATAGATAAAATGAAGTAATATATTTTTGTTATTAAATATCTTATTTATATATAATATATTTTATGAAAATCATATACAATATACAAATTTTCACCTATTTTATGTAAATCAGTCTCATTAGCAGTTTGAAAATCTACAATATGTCTGATAGATTTAGCCATACAAATTCTTATATCAAAGGTATCAACAATTGGCTGTCTAAAGTATTCTTTCATCGCGTTATTTCGCATTGCTGAAAGATCTACACCATGAAAACATGTTTGGTACCAAAAATTAGCTTTATTAAATTGCTCCATATAAAGATTTTCATCGGAAAACGGTGCGATGTGAAGATCTCCTCGAGAGGGAAACATTCTTCCACCTGTATAATAATTATTTAACTGTTGCTATTATAACAGGTGTAAATGAATTAAAAAAAAAAACTGTAAAATATTTACCTGGAACTAACCACTTTTTAGCATGAAGATATGTTTCAAGCATTCTTTCATTGTACAACATATAACCCATTGGTTCACTCACTATGCAATCTACTCTTTCTGGTAAATCAATTTCTTCTATTTTACCAGCTATGACAATAATCTTATCTGATAAATTATTTGCAGCAACTAATAGTTCTGCATGATTTGCCATATTACTTGCTTCCACTGCATATACTTTCTTTGCACCAGCTTGAACTGCAAAGAATGATAATATTCCAGAACCTGCACCTACATCTAATACAACTTTATCTTTAAAGTCAGAGAGATTTCCTAGAATTGCTCGCTGGTAGGTACTAGTTCTAATATAATCTTGCATCATATTTTGTTGCTGGGATAGATAACCATAAAATTGAAAATATTGCATAGCTGAAGATTCTTCCGTCCTTTCATTAAATGCAGAAATACCCTTGCCATTTTTTAGTTTCAATATTTGTGAATGAAAATTTCTAAAATCTAAAAAAATGTTATTAATGATATAAAAAATTAGATTAAATAGCACAATTTAAATATGTAATTGTTTATTAGCTCACCTGTTTCATTAGCAAATGTTATAAGTAAACTATCTGTATCAAATGTGAATACATAACTTCTAGATGAAACTCTAGAACATTCTGTACTAGGAGTTACTGGGAATTCCAATAATGTTGTTTTATCCCTACCGATTATGTCTCCTATTGAGAAAAATAAAAGATATAAAAAAATATCTTTAATATTCATAAAATAATTTAGAATTATTAATATTTTTAAAATCTTCTTAAAATTATTTAAAATATTCTTTCTATATTTAAAATATTTTTATTATAAAATTTTTGTTATGATAAAATTAAATTATTAAATTGTTATATTAATAAATTGTTAAAAATTAAGAAGAAAAATTTGAAAACAATAAATAAACATAATTATATGTTTTGGATTTTCTTTCTCGGAATATAAAGAATAATTTCAAATGTTTAAACAAAGATTTACTTATTAAATTATTTAAAATTTATTAATATTTATTATAAACGAAAATTATATTTATATAAGAGAATAATCACATCGTAAACGTTGTATATTCAACTAAATAGTTAAAGAGAAATATAACAATACAATATTAATAGTATTCTATTTTTTATATATTCTTGTATAACAAATTAAAAAAATTTCAACAATCATATATACTAACAATTGTTATTAAATTTTAATTTAAAGAAAGATTATAAACGCTTATTTAAGTATGGTTATGTTGTCTACTTCACAACGACAATAATATAATTTGTAATTAATTATTTATTGACAAATAAGTACCTGCAAGGAATTCAATGCTAAGACCTTGTGGATCATAGTTGATATTAAGCGTGACCGGCTTATTAAATTTTGCTGTTGACTGTCCATTGTTTGACAAAGTCGATACTGTCACCGCGCGAAACACTTTCGCCATTTTTAGACACCGCGTGCGTATTGTACGCTGCAGTTCTGTAATTGGTTCTACTACGCTTGTCTTATCTTAACGTTGTTTTCCGGAAAATTTTCAATAAAAACAAAAAAATATACGATATCGCCTCTTTCGATACAAATCACTCAAATAATATTAAACAGATCTTGCTTAAAATTACAATTTTTCACGTTCGTAGACCGAACCATCGACTAACCACCCCCGGCGCGTATTACACACGCGCAATAGAGTTACTAGAGTACTGAATATATAGCTAATTAAACTCCCTAGATTCACAATAACTCTAGATCATGATTAAGATAAAGGTGAAATGTATTACTATTGCATTAATTATAGATATGTAATTGTATCGTCTATATTTTTACTAGATATTTCATATATTACTTGCAATTAAATATTAAAATATATTTAAAATATTTTTTTATAATTTACATTTTTTGTATAATTGTTAACTTTTGAATATGAATTATTATCTATATTTTCTTTATAGGAAATACGGAAAATTTGATTAATCCAATACCAACTTAAAGTTATACAAATATATATTTTACAAAAATTTTAAAAATTAATAAGATATATATAATTTTTAAAAGCTTTGCATTAAATTAAGGATGTTATATTATATATATATTATTAATCTTTATTATATAATAATTTGATTATTAAATTATGAGATTGTTAATAAAATGATAACCAATCAAAATCAGGTTTTGAATATGTGTATAAAATCTGAAATGTTATTGGTCGCAAAGTTATATGCACGGAAGTTTTATATATTTTCTAGAACGACCTGTACGAATCACGCGCATACGATTAGTGGTATACGATTCTCTGATCGATAAATACGAGTTGGAGAATAACTCGAAACTCGAAAGCTAGCGGCGTGGCTGATTGCTCACCCCCATTTTTGACAGTGCATCTGAAATATTGCACTCTCTCAAAAAATGACTGCTCACGACCAAATGCGTGCTATGCTCGACCAATTGATGGGAACTGGACGGAATGGTATGTATTATCATTTCACATAGAAACACGATTATTTTTTGTAACTTTATTATTTACAGTTATCTGAAATCTTTCATACAAAAATACAAGATGGTGGCTTACACTTTTCATCATATTCACTTATATATTCATCTATTTTATTAATAAATATATCATAATTTTAGGTGAAAATAACAAATTTCAAGTGAAGTACTCGGATCCAAAGGTCTGCAAGAGCTTTTTGCTGGCATGCTGTCCACATGAAATCTTATCATCAACAGTGAGTTTGTTTCAGTTATTACATATTGAATATCGATGACATACCATTGGCACTTTTGCACTACAGTAGAGCATTTTCGTATTTCCCTTTTGATACTTCTTTACATTAATATAAAAGCAATCAGACATCAATACCTAGTGATGTCATGTTTCATTTTTTTGCTATTACATTTTTTCAGCTCATTCTGGTTACACGATTCAATTGCTTTTTTTCTTTTTAGTAAATTTATTTGCTTTTTTTTTCTTTTTTATGTTGCAAAATAGCAATGTTGCCAAGATACATATTTATTAATTCATTAAAAATAAACATAAATCACATGTATGAAATCTGTAACAATCTGTAACTATGAGTATTTTAATATTAAATTATGATTTGTGTTTTAATATTTTACAAATATTTGGTTTTTTCTTATACTTATATAAAATAAAAATGATATATAACAAAAATAATTAGAAATAGTTGTTACATTAATATTATTTGGTTTGCACATATATAACTTATAATAGCTTTAGATATTATATGTTTTATCCAAGCTTTTTATTGTAGAAAAAAAATATAATAACATTGATTATATATGAAGTATAAATAATTTTTATTATAATAATTTTAGTAATAATAATTTAGTATAGTGTTTAGTTTCATATTTTATTTTTTCACTAATAAATAAACAGAAATTAAGAATCTTTAAAAAAATGTATAATTTTATATAAATAAACAAATATTATATTTTATTATAGAATCTTTAATCAAAAAATAATTATTCTTATCAATGAATTTATATTAACATTTATATATATAAAATACAATATATTTTTATATATTTTATACACTAAATGTATAAATATATATGTACATGCATATATAATAGAAAGAAATAAAATAGAATAGAAAGAAAAATTATACACATATATATTTCATATTATACATATAATCATCTTTTATTGTGCTATTAGTTAATATTATTAAACATCTTTTTATTTTTTTCAATTTATCTTATCATATTTAAATGATATTTTATATTTTTTAAAGATAAAAAAAATATATTGGTTTAATGATTGTATATTGATAAATTTAATAAAATAAAATTATTTTATTATTTTTATGCATTTATTGTTCTTTTTATTTTTTTAAAAAATCAATATATATATTTTGTAATACATCTATATAATATTATATTTTGAATCGTGTAACTATGAAATTATTTGACTATATTGAATTACAATTTTTATCAAATTATTCAAAAATAAGTCTGGTTGCGAAATTTTTTTGAATAAAGTATTTTTGTTTAATAACATTTATTTAAATATATATATATATATTTATGTATTATGTTAAATACACAAATACACTGACAATTCTTTTTTTTTTGTATTTGTATAACAATTTTTATAATTTTATATAGTATAAGGAAAAAATTTAAAGTATATTATACATAATATAATGTTATTTTTCATCAGTGCCAATTGGTCTGATCGATTTTATATAAAATACAAAATAATTAAACAATACAATTCAGTTTTGCAATATACAAATAATAGGATGAAATTTGTGTGATATATTCGGAGAATTGATTCCGATCAATTCACACCAGATAGGCGTTGAAGTGCAACACGGGGCAGCAAATAATGATAAACAAGAAATAGCCCTTTAAATTTTTTAAAAGAAGAAAATGAGATATAGAATATTTTAATTTTTGGTTTAAAATATTATTCATATTATATCATTATTTATCTTATATTATTTTTGAAATCAATTTCATTAGTTTATGAAATAAAATTTCATGGTACAGTAAATTATAAATAATAAATTTTGTACATAAATATGTATCTGCATAAAGAACTTAATTTAAATATATTAATTGTCTCCTAAAATATATTTTATAAATATACAACCCAATATTTTTCAAATCCATCTTACTTCTTTTCTTCGTGAAACCTAGAAATATATTAAAAAACTATATTTATTTTAATAGCCCCATACAATCATGAGACATACATGTAGGAAATTTCGAATGATGTAAATACGGTTAATATAGAAGCAAATATTTTATGTTTATAGTGAAAATATGATTTTCTATCAACAAGATAATAGTATTTTATAGTACTGCTTCGCGCATTTCTTTGTCATCTTGTGCGAATTGGTCCAAAGGGTGTTTGTTAAAAAAATTGAAAATTCAGTTTCTTTTTTATTATTCGATTCTATCTAATCGCCAAAATACTTGTAGTAAGGCGACATTACAAATTATTTTCTATAATATGTTATATGTTCGCTTCAAATTTTCTTTAAAAAATGGTTTTAAATGAGTAACTGCATTTTCAGCTCAAATATATTTCACATTTATTCAAGCAATTATTAAAAACTTATTTAAAAAAAATTTTTAATTATCTTATTTTTTAATTTCAGCAAATGCAATAAACGTGAATACCGTTGTGGTTAAAAATTTCTTACCATTGAAAATGCGAGTCAATATAAAGCGTGTATATTAAGTGTTTGTAATGTCACATAGTAGGGAATTGTTACATTTAGTTCTTATTTGTAATTTTTTTCATTCGATGATTAAAAAAAAAAAAAAAAAAGAACAAAGAATTATATTTTATTTAGTTCATGTTAAAGAATTTGCTTGAAAGTATTACATGTTCAGGGACATTAATAAAAGGAGACTCGCAGCCTAGCATTCGGTGCATAGGAGGGCGTCTCTTATCGCAGTTAGCAAGCACCCTTCTAATATTTTACGCTTAGGTTTATTAGGGTAATATTATAAACAGTTTTACAAGATACAAGAGAAAAAAAATAAATAAATAAAACGAAGTATTTAAAGATATTAATTTGA